CAATAGTTTTTAGTAAGGACTGAAATCGATCCCTCTCTCTTGTCTGCTTTTTCATTCTCTTGCTAGCAACCTCGTGGATTTCTGTTTCCACAAGCCACTGAAGAGCCTTACAAACCAAAGGGAACTGTAAATTTTTTTCACTACTAGACTTATTGACTAAATCTCCTTTTTAGAATGTGTTCCAGGGCTCCCCATGAAGAATGGAATGTAAATAATCAAGCCTCAGGATCAGAAATACCTGGAAAAAACTGCATTCAATCTAAAGCAATGGACCAGTTTTCATAATACCTTGTGAATTTGGCTACAATTACCCTTTCTGTCCCCCTTAAATTCAGCAACTACTTGATCTTAACTGTGGGCATACCTTTTCTTTTTTTGAGACAGAGTCTCGCTATGTCACCCTCAGTAGGGTGCTATGGAGTCACAGTTCACAGCAACTTCAAACTGTTGATCTTAAGTGATTCTCTTGCCTCACCCTCCCAAATACATCCAATCCCAGTCAACACGGCAGTCAGAAGGAAATTTTTTTTTTTTTTTTAAGAGCCTCAAGCTGTCCCCCTGGGTAGAGTGCCGTGGCATAGCTCACAGCAACCTCCAACTCCTGGGCTCAATAAAAAAAAAAACTAATAAAGAAAAAAAAATGAATTTGGGCCAGAGAAAAAGGTCAGAGTTCAGTCTCCAGGCCCTAACAGGAGGTGACTGCCAAATCTCCCTGCAAAGGTGTCTTTCTGCCTTTGAATTTTTACATCATCTGTGGGTGGCACCTTAAAACCCTGTGAATCACCTGTTCCCCAATAACTTAGCATCCACTCCTTTTAGAACCTCTTCTTGATTATTGCTGAATCATTGGATTTATTCATACTATTATGTTCTATTTGTTGCAATAGGCACTGGTTTTCCACTTTCTGCACTGAAATGACGTTTCCTGTTTAAATAAATGTGTTGAATTTTTTCCAGAAAGAGTTGATTTAAAGGAAACTATTAAGCAGTTCAGTATACAGATGATACATGGATGTATGGCAAAGTAAGGAGGGTGAGACTCAAATGGCAGATGCCTGGTCTATCACTGCTTTGGGCTTAGGGTCAGACTCAGGCTCCTGTTTGCTCTGGAGCTCTAAGCTTCATCCTGGATACCTCCTTTTGGGCTCTCAGTCCCATCATTTTTTTTTTTTTTTTTTTTTTTTTTTTTTGAGACGGAGCCTCAAGCTATCCCCCTGGGTAGAGTGCCCCTGGAGCCCCCAGAAAGAACTCAGCTTTTGA